GAATATGCGCTCTCAGTCTCCGGGGTTGCCCTGGTATTGGGGTGCTTTTTGCTCCTCTGTGTAGGAACAGATGGGAGAAGTGGGGTATTATGGTGCCCTCTGAGAAGATCTACTGCTAGTTACCTGGTTAATGGGTTTGTTGACAAAAGCTCCCACCTTCCGGATAAAGATGGTCTCCAAAAGGTCATGTGGGGAGCCACACTTCCCTTCGCTGCTGTTTGATACCGTTTCTGTGTCCTCGCTGGGGGAGGAAAATAGGCTAATTGGTGACTCATGGCACAAACAATACAGACAAATCACATGCTTTACAAGACTCCTTCGTTTTTCTGGGTTTACTCCTAGTATTGGAAGAAGGACAACAGAAATCTCTGTCCTTGTACCACACCTTCCTCGTCAGTCATGAGCACAAAAGGGAGTGGGACACTTGTGGAATCAGGTTTTTATTTAAAGCTGAACAAAAACTATTTAGTTGAGTGAAAAGTTGCTGCCAACTGAAATAGGCTTTTCTTTTTGGAGATGGACTTTTAACTTCAGAATGTGCACGTTCACAGCAATTCCTGTTCATCACTATTATTTTTTCAGTAATACAGTAGTCACAGATCTGTCAGGAGGTGAGGGCAAGAACCAGAACTGTATCTGTCACTCAGGTTACAAAGGCAGCAGTCTAATACATCACAACAGCCACTGCCAGTATGATTAATTCACTGCATGGTTATTAGTTATTTCTATGACTTGTTTTTTTTCCTACCACAGGTATTCAGAACTTTAAAACAAAAAAAAATGGTTGGGTTTTCTGGCAAGAGGATTACTTCGATAGCATACTTAGACAGGGGAGTGCTCGTGCAACTATGATTTTTGGTTTCCTCATAGCAAAATCTCCGCTTAAGATATTTGACTCAGAACTATGTGACCCCAAGAGAGACTTCACAATAAATAAATATGGTGACCAAAAAAAAAAGAAGGATTTAATTAGCTGAGAGGGAGGTGATTTAGGATAGTTTGAGGTTGCACTGTTTCCTTTTAAGTAACTTTGTGCCTAAAGTTTCTTAATAAAGTAGTGAACAGATTTGCAGTAACTACAACGTGGTTTTGGTAACAATTCACATTAAGTCTCTGGAGAATTTAAGGCTCACTTGTGAACTTACTTCATCTTGTTGTTTTACAATCAGCGAAAACAGTATAGAGATTAAAAAAAGATAAAATTGGTAATAAAGTTGAAGTTGACATAACAGAAGTTGCAAGGATGTTACAGTGACTAGCAGGTGTAAGTAAATGGGCGAGATCATTGTTTGGAGAAAGGCTGAAAAAGCCCCAGTCAGAGAAAGCTGCTAGATGTTTTTGGAGATGGAAAGACAGTAGTTATGCTACAAACAATAGATAAAAAGGGGAAAACAAAAAGGTTTATCTTAACAGGATTATATATGGGCTAGCACAAGTCGTGGATCATCTAAAACCAACCTACCTACTAGAAGGAGTAGCTGCTGAGTAGTGGACTCCATCCAGTGGGGTGCACATCCTCTCTTGGTCAGCTTGAGTGCCATGTGCTGGCTGGCTAGGAATTGGGGGAACTCCCCCCTCTTTGCCTGGACCAATCAACTGAGATGGAGAGGAACGGTCAAGTTAGAGATCTAACAGTCAGGTCAACACCACAGTGCAATACTGAGCAGATTCCATCATATTGGGACTAAGTTGTGGGGGTTTTGGCGCATGAGTCTAGTCTAGTCTATTCTACCATCACTGTGTCAGCAAAACTCTGGTGTAGCAGCAACATCACAGGCAAAAAAAGATTTCTGACAACTTTGCTTATTTGTCTGATGAACGGATGCAAATTTGCTAATATGGACTGTCAGTATATCCTGTGTCTAGGCTACAGTGCTGTGCTTGGACAGCTGCAGGGGCAGCAGCTCTGTAAGACAAAGTTTGGAATCGGTGAAATGCTGGTGCAGGCAGACCAGTCTGGTGCCTGCTCTCTTGGCGTAGTTTTTCCACATGACCCCTACCCCAGTAAAGTCAGGGATGCTGAGGAGCCAATTCCCAGCTCCTGTGCAAGTTGTGCTCTCTCTATATTTACCTTACGTTCTTTTCATTCCTGAAAGACAGGATACCAAGGCATGCACTAGTTTCAAGGCCTCCCTCAGATATACAAGTGACACAAATGGTTGCAATACCAGCCACGCTTGTTCTACCCTCTACAAGTACCTGGTGAGGGTGTGCAGCATTCAAGCCACCAGCAAAGAGTACAGGATACCCCATGTCAGCTGATCCAACTCCCAGGGCAGCAGGCTGATAGGAAAGACGAGAGCTGGAAAGCTAAGAAAGAAGAGAAAAAACAAGAAGGGCAAAGGGAGAGGAGAGAGGAAGGGGAAGGGGAATGCCCCACAATCTGAATAATCATCAGTCACTGAAGAAGAATAGGAAAAGTCAGAGGCACAGCACAGCATTTCAGGCTGGCAGATTTTCATTGGAATCAATAATGAAGGTCATTACTCGATAAAGTTCTTATTGCAGGAGACCAAGCCTGGGCCTTGACAAGAAAACAAGACTGGTTTCCTACACACGTAGGAGGAGGCTGTGCAGGGTATGACTGACATCCAGTCACAGGGAAGCTCTGCTCTACAGGCCTTTTTCACATACTGGAAAAAGCACGAATGCCATCATCAACTACTAAAGAGCTAATACGCAATATTTTTTTTCCCAAAGCAACTGCATTATCAACTGTTTGAACCCATTCCCGTTGCACATTAAAATAGCTGATCTTCAAGGCCTGTTCAAATAGCTTCAGCCAAAGAATACAGAGTCCCATAAATGTGGTAGGTAAAGAGAATTGGGAAGCTAACCCTTGTGAGATTGCTTTAGGAATGAAGTGCTGGAAGCAGTGAAACCCAGAAGTTCCTTACGCACCCCAGACAGAAATCTAGCTGGTTGGATTAAATAAAACTTCCCTGTTTTCGCTTACTTGGCCTCAAGAGGAACACTTCTTTCAGAGCTCTGTGTGTGATACTCCAGCAGCGCCAATGCTGGCATCATTTACAGGGGTCTGAATGATGAACAGCACTTCTACTCACATGAGGCTAGTTAAGCTGAACGGAGCACCAATGACTCTGCAGGTTCTAGGGACACTCTCTGTTAAGAGAAAATACTCAGCACCGTGCCTTACTACTCGTGTCTTTCACTAACAATCCTTGCAACAGCTGTTGTTTATTTAGGGGTGCTTGTCCTGTCTTTGGGCGACCTTCATCTGCAAAGGCATTTAAGCTGCCAATTTCAATAACGTGCCTGGCCCATTCTGAGTTCACCAGCCTTTCCCATGCACAACAAACGTTGCACACTGTCAAATTTTACTTTCCTGTATTTGTTCTGTCATGCCCGAACTATAGCTGGCCATGTATAGCATATTCTATTGACAACTCACTTGATGTGAAAAGGCCAGTCCCATCACTGGGACCTTCAAGGTGTCCGTCACCACAGGAGGAGGGGTCTGAAAATGTGCCTTTGTGACAGTAAAAACACACTGTGCACAGACACAGACACACAGAGGAAACAAGGAAAAGAGAGAGAGTGAGAGAGGGGGGGAGAGAAAGAGAGAAAGAAGGACTTCAGAGAAGAACTATAAAGAGTTGGATGAACTGAATGCTAGTGAAGAGGTTTTGGCTGCAGCAGCCACACCTACACATAGAGCAGAAGTCTCAGTATTGCCAGAAGCACATTCATTTTGTAAAGAATTGACTGTTTTCCAACCTCGGTGAACCACTCAACACAGGTAATATTTTAGACTCCAGTGAACGCTGGCAGAAAGTAACTGCCAGAGACTCTGTTCCACAGCTAATTAGAATTGGTACCAGCCAATTAGCAAGGAGAAGGCTAAGCGGTTGCCAGAAAAAGCCAAGAGTAATTGTTTTGCGGAATGTACAAATTGCATGTATTTCAGTACTCTCCATCCATCCATACTCCTAATCTTCCAGCATTCTGAGGGATCATATGTTGGCAGGTCTGTGCCGTACCCTTAGAATAAAGGGGACCCAGACTAAGGTGAAACTCAAACACACTGATGTGAAGAGAGAACTCCGTCAACAGGAGTGACGCTCCAGAAGTACACACTGTCTCACAGAGGGTACTAATGCAGAAAGGGCAATCCAAACCTGCTTCAGTCCCATACCTTCTCCCAGTCATTTTCCTACCAACAGTTTTCAGTTTTAGGAAAGCTTCATTTCTGGATATTACCCGTGGCCAGACTTTCTCCTGAATTTTGGGCTACTCCACAACACACACAGACATGCTATGCAAGCTCACACCTATTCCCTTGTAACATGCAGGTTAGGCCTCATTTCTACTGGGAAGGCAGGCAGAGATTTGGGCAATTTGCCTACAGAACCACACAGTTCCCAGTATTTTCCTACACATTAAGTTGTATATAGAAAGCTGGAGAAAGAAATTAAGGTTTTTCTTTTCCCTTCTAATTTACTTTAGAGACCACTCTGCCAAGACAGCCTTACAATTCTAACTGTGGTAACAAAGACTGGCAGTTGCTTTATAAATAAGCGCACAGCATATGGCAACTATGAGCCACAGGAAAAGCAAGAATGTAGGCTCATACTTAATGTGAATCCTCACGGTTCATCTGGTTTCATAAAGCTTTTCCCCTCGGTGACAGCAAAGCTTCATGTCCCCTGGGGAAATGTCAACTTCGATGTATTTACATACACTATTACTGTTAAGTAATACGGGCACGAGCAAGCCAGTGGAAATTTCCTTATGAAACCTTTTGCATTTAACCCATTTTGTGAAAAGGCAGGACACAACTCAGCCACAAACTCATCTCATATCGCAGAATAAGAAAAGCTTTATTCCATCAGACTTACCATGAGTGCTGGCTGATTAGTTCAACATTGCCTGATGCCCTGTCACCCAAAATCCACAAGCACAAAAATGCTTCCTGAGAAAAGCTCATTTCTAGCTCATTCATACACTAGAATACATTCTGCTAAACCAGTCATAGTAATTCCTCTGAAGCAGTGGAAAGACCCATAGCAAATTCTTTCAGTTTGGAACTGCATTCCAATTACACTTCATTCTATGTTTCACATCGACAGCAAAAGAGATTTAGAGTCTTTAGATTGTCTTTAAAGATCAGTAGAGCCATCTGCTTGGCTGAACAATAAGGCAGGACATTCCTGAATATTTAAAGCTATAGGACAACTGCAAATCTGGCCAAGTCTTCAAAATACAGAATTGTGGAGTCAGATATATAGGAACAGTAAAAGAAGGAGGAATTGGGAGTTTCTGGGTTTTGATCTTCAGAAGGAAACCATTATCTATTTATTTTAAAATTGAAACTTAAATGAAATTTGCATGAGTAGGTGGAATTACACAGTATTAAGTCCCTAGTTCAATACTATGACCCATTTTGTTTGCTGATACATAGTTTTAGATGGTCCAACAAATACAGCTTTTGTCTTTTTCCTGCTTTTCCATTCTGCAATGCAGAAAATATGACTGTGTTATAAGCATTTTCCTGACATTTCAGTGTTTCTTTTTTCAATGTCAGTCTGTTACCTCTACTTATGCTGCCTGGCAACAATCACTTGAATTCCTCTTCTTGCAGTATTGGTATGTGAATGTGTAAGTACACTGCTATCCTCTTCAAGCACATCTTTTTCAGTAATTCAGTCTTTCTAGTCCCCTAGCATTTTGTTGAAATTAGTATCTAACTAGGTTCTACTCAGAATGTAACGATATAAATAACCCACACATTAAATTTTTATTAGCAGCAGGAGGCTACCTGTTTGCACAGTAGTTGATGTAGGAGTATGCATACTACCCTAACAGTGATTGTTCTACGTAGGAGTAAGAAGAGCCTGGTTTCTCTTACCTGAGATGGAGGAGAGGTGGAAAAAGACGTGGTACACACTTCTTGAGAATCTTCTACTGAGGGGTATACTGCACCATTGTCCTCACCAGCTCTAAAGCAGCAAGAAAAGAAAAGCTTTCTAACTGGAAATATTCCTTAAAACAAACAAATAGTAAAACACACTGGGACAAACACTGCAGGGAGGTTGAGAGTATTTGGGTGGAGTTGAAAGGAGAATTACAAAGGGCTCTCATCTACTTGGCAGAACTGAGGAAAACAAGGTATGAAAACTTCAATTTTCCCCAGGTGCTCCTCTGCTACCCCCAAATAGAAACACTCCCCGCTTTTTTAACTAAAGGTTTTCTTATATCAGCTAATGCTACTGGCTTTGGTGTTTACAGAACCATTGTCAAACAATACCACTGGTCCCAATCTGAGTGCCCTCACATGCATTTTAGAGAAGACAAACTTCTCATCTACAAAGAGAAATTAAACTCTGATCTTTCCCCAATGGAAACATCTGGACACGTAGTTCTACAGCAGGATTAGCCGTTACACTTTCAAATTCCCAAAGGCAGCCAAGGTTAAACATCCTTTGTGTGCAAGCGCTTCTGTAAGGAATTTGGGAAAATACTGGGACTTGCTGCACTCAGTCTTCTAGATGTGAGGAGAAAAATGTCACCCCTTCTCATATGCTCAACTATGTCAATATGATTGATACTAATCCTCCAGCCTCCCTTCCCATGCGGTCAGCAAATAGTGGAAAAGGCTCTGTATTTGGGCATAACTGATGCCTTCACCAAGGCCCATGACTTCAACTCGGTATTTCCTCACCTGTAATTGCAGGGATGCATGGGTGAAGAGCTGGGATAGGGACGGTCCACAAAGTGATCAATGATAATCCCCATGATAGGCGGGGTCCTCTCAAACTGCCTGCAAGGCAACAAGCAATGGTGTTATTGGCTTTTCTCTCTACTCTCATCCCAATTCATGGGGCCCTCACAGAAAAACCTTGTGTCTGTTAATGGGACCAGAGCATTTTACAATTCAGCCCTGCAACTCCAAGCATGCAACAGCAATCTGGAGTTCTAGAGTCTGGCTCAGGGCTACCCAAATACTCCCCTTGCTGTAAGACTTAAGCATGAGAGAGAGTATTCTCCATGAAGGAGAAAAGTAAGCAAAAGGGAAAGATTTAGGGGCTCATAATAGGAGGGGTTTAATAGTACATTATCGTAAAACAGTTTCTGGCATGATCACATTTTCTCACCTGGTTGACATAAAAGCGAGGTTGATTCTGTAGGCACAAGACAACGTGATGGTGCCCACTGGGGTACCCACTGTCCCAACACGGACTGTCTGGAAACCTATAAGGTTAAGGAATGATTATCAGCTTCGCTCATTATTTATGTTCCATGCTTTTCTATTCTGAAGTTACATTATCTTATTTCTATAGTGTTTCCATTATCCCTTGCAATTTGAACTCCAAAGACACATATAGAACCCATAACAAAACAGCAGCACTAGGTTGCCCTACTGGTAGGCTTCATCTACAAGACTTCTGATGTTGGTTTCTATCTTGGTCTAAAAATATTGCTCTGAAGTGCTTCTTGTTCCTGAGTAGACCATGATCTCCTTTACCAGTCCTGCCCCTTATCAACATACTTCCATATTCTTACTTCAATTCCGTATCACTAGAGTCAAAATGGCAATCACCCTAGATTTTGTCAAAGTACCTCCATTATATCTGTCACCTTATGACACGACCCTTCACTGGTAGATCCACATAAAAAGCGTATGTAAACCTCAGACTTAATTTTCCTTATGGCACTTAGGAATAGTAATAAATGGCTAGCCAGTATGGAAAACAGTTCTGCTCTGGTTTGTGTGTGTTGCCTAATCATACCTTCTCCCAAGCCACTCAGTTGCACTTCACCAAAATATATCCTACAGGAAAAGGAAAAAGAAAAGGTATTAGATCCATTGGGGACATAATGCTATACATATCTTTATTCCTTATTTAATTTTATGAGTTGAAAGGCTGGAACTACTTTTCCCCTTTAGAAAAAAAACCAGAAGTGGCTAAAATGCCCATCTCAAAAAACCTTCCAGCTACTTCAGAGGAAGACATGTCACGTAAAAAGAAAAAGGAAGAGAAAACGGTAGTCTAATCAGAAATTTATCTATAAGTTTTTTAAGCCTCTGTGGCAAGTCTACAGTTCAGAGCAAAAATGTGAAGTGATATAAACTTCACTGACAGGTCTGAGCCTAAAAGCTGATACTCATCACACAACATAGATTAACTGTGCTGTAAAGAGACCTGCTCTTAAGTATATGCCAAACCAGCAGTGGAAGGAAAAATGAAGAAATGGCTGGGATTTCTTTTTAAGTTCTCAGCTATGCAAATGATAACAAACCTGAGATTTAGAATCATCTAAATTAGCTACGCAAACATGTCAAAGACTTTTCTCAAAGCCAAAACCAAAGACTGGAAGGTGATAACCATGAACTACAAGCCAGTCAGATCTCAGGCTAAACACAGTTGAACTCAGTATTTGGATGAGTAAACTGCAAGAACTACAGGAGCTGAGGATGCATCTTTAAAATGGAATAGCAGGACAGAGTCTGAATCTATACTGCAAAAGTATGCATTGCAGTTATGTGCAACATAGACAGGCATTTATCAAATACAGGCCAGGCACTGAACAACTGGATGCTAATAATCAATTTAACCAGTGCTTGCATGTAGAATTTTTGTACTCTTCTCTACATGGTAGGCAAACAACAATACTTCGCAGCCTGTACTTAGTTTTTCTTTCAATGGCTCAGATGGAGGCTATAAGGCGATATATAGCACAAAGCCCTCTTCTATCACTGATCAGTAGTAGTTAAATACAAATAATTTGAATTTATTATCACTCATCCCTTTTTACCACATTTGCAGCTGCACTGTGCAAGTCTGGAGTCTCTGCTGTTTGTATTTCAAATGGGGAATTTCATATTCTGCTTTACCTGTACAATATTACATATTCATGGCCTTGCTTCCTTGAGAGTCTGTAGGCTGGAGTTACCCTGGTTATAGCAAGCAAAGACTTCAGCAGTAGAGACAGCCTGTTGTATACAGTGTATGAAACTTTGATTTCTTTGTCACACCTATAGAACACAAAGGAAAATATTAGTCTTCTGTTCCCAACAACTTGTTTGGTTTTGTTTGTTTATTTGTTTTTTAATTTTTTAAAATCAAAATGAGTCTGGGCCAATTGTTTAATGTCAGTTTTATTGCCAAAATGATAAAATAAAGCCGCAGTGTGGCTACCTGTTATTGACCAACCAGCTAAGAGTCCTACTTCAACCTAGTCACCTGTTGTAGAAGTAATTGCTGAAAAATGCCACGCAGCCTTCTACTAGACAGAAACATCTTTTCAGTATTAAAAACATTTGTCGTTACTGAGTATATGAATTCTTGTATCTGAGGAAGCATACTAGTTGTAATGGAAGAATGAAGAAGGAATAAAATTACTAGTTTATTTTCTTGACACCAATATTAAACACTTTGACTGCCACGCTAGACAAAAAGGGGACTTCCCTGCGAAGCGTCCCAGAGCACACAGCCGGTATGTGTTCATTCATCACCATGGATTGAGCACGCTTCCCCATTTCATCAGCTAAAACAAACACGCACTCACAGAGAGTGTGAAGGATGCACTTACTTTTCATTCATTTCTAGACACCAAATTTCCAGCTCCATGGAGTCTCCCTGGATCAGAGAAAGGATGGCAAACAAAAGCTCATTTCAGAACACAAACCTTTTCACATCTCATTAATGATCAGCAAAAGCCACACCTCTCGATAAAGATGTTTCTCCTGGCTCCCACTTTCTTGTAATGCAACAAGAAAAAAAGGTGCACTGGAAGTCTCACTGCACAATTAGATCACCTGAGGGAATGCCTTCCTCAGAATGGCTAAGCTCTTCATGGTCTAAGAAACTAAATTTTGCTGCTCTATCATTTGTGTGTTTGGTCTCAGATATTCAGTGAATTGCTTCTGTTAAACAATACATTTCTTTTCATTAGCATACTACCTAACTTCATAAACGAAGATATTTTCACATTGTCTTGGACTAAAGGGCAGGAGCTCTGGTAGATGACTTAAGATTCAAGTAAAAAACAATGGCATCTATTTTGACTCATTTCTCACCTCTGAGGTTTTGAGAGAAATCTCCACGCACATAGACCGTCCAACAGCGGGTAGTTGTCCTGCCAGGGCTTTCTTTGCTTCATGAGTAACCTCTGGTATATCTTTGATTGCCAAATTGAACTGCAGAATGAAAGAGATGATTCAATTTTTTTATTTCTTTGAAAAACTGCAGCGTACAGACTCATAGACCCATATATAACAAAGTAGGTCAGCGTCCGCTGAAATATTTATGAAACAGAAAATTCCCAGATGGGCTCAGGCTTTTCATATTTGCAAACATTTCCTTGGCTGCTAATTCAAATGTTTTTCTTGATCCTGCCATAAAAATCACATTCCTTTTCCCTCGCTTGAGTCCTATCTTCTCCCACAGAGTATCTTGAGTCTCTTCAATTTTAATAAAACCCATTACTACAAAGTCCTGAATTGCAGAGTTGCAAACTGACAGAAAAGAACTCATCACCCCAGCACCAGCAGATCTTGGAAATGCGCCTTAGCTGGCAGGAGCTGCTGAGAGGTATCATTTCTCTCTCCTCTAATCAGCCCTTAAGAGCCCAGAGTGACATGTTGCATGTGAACAACAACAAAAAAACCCCCACACCACCAAGGAACATAATTGAATATAGTAGTTATTCTATGAATACTTACTATAATCTGCACAAGACTATAACAACTACATTGTGTTCTCAACACACATGCGTCCACACACACACACACACACAATATCCAACACCCAACAGCTGGAGTTGCTTTAAAAAGCATGACTTTACCCAGTCAGAGCCTGTTGGGGAGGATGATGATCGGGTACAGATTTTCTCTCCAAGTCGGGCCTGGACAATTACTTGTACCGTCTGGAACAGAAAGGAAAAGATACACACGTTTTGGGCTCAGCAGAGCCCTCAGTTCCCAATCTGAGCTAGACAAATTCCAAGTAAAAAAAATGAAAGGCCTGACCAGGATGTAGAGAAGTACAGTTTGCTGCGCTAATCTTCAGGTCTAATCAATTTAAATTGTTACATGTAACAGGTAAATGTATTTCAGACAGAAAAGCATTTTAAGCTGACCTTTCTCTGTAATAACATCAAGTGACTAAGTCAACTTTGTGATCAGGAGTTGCACAGTTTTTGGTAATACTGAAACACAATTTACAACTATATCCAGAACCTGGACACATAAACGAAAGTCAAGTGAATCTGTAAATTTATAACATAGCCATTGTCAGAGTATCTACTTGCATTTATGTACCAAGTGAGGCCAAATTTTATAACTACATATCAACATAATTCAAAAGAACATTCTGGTATTACTGCTTTTGGCTGCAATATAAAAATTTAGATAAGCTGAAAAGAAAGAGTGGAGTCCAACAGAAGATACTACCTAACAGCTGGATGGTTAGATGTGTCGGTAGGAGCCCAAAGCTGACAGTGGTGCGAAGTGCCTGTAACTGATTTTACAGCAGGACACTTCTGGGGGAAGGAAGAGGATTTGAAGGTAGAAAAAAGGGGAAAAGATGTTTTTCTAGTTATTCTCAGGAATCTCCTAAATTTGACATCAGCTTTTCTAGCTTTGGTCTTTAGCAAAAACAAAAAAAACCCCCAAACCCCAAGCTTGTTACTCTAGCCACAGCCAGTATAGCTTTTCTTAAACAAGAAAAAAGAGGCAGCATTTGCCCACAGGAGAAAAAGTTACCTTTAAAGCAAAAAATTTGATGAACTTGTCCAGGTCCTTCCTGTCCTGGGAACTGAGATCAGTGTCCATTGCATATGGCAATCTGAAATACAGCACAGGCACGGGAGTGAAGTCTTCCTTCAGCTTTCTGTTCGGATTTCAAGATTTCAAAATATTTTGCCATTAGAGGCTACTTCAAAAGAAATGATAAGCACCAAAGGCCTCTGCCTGTCAAAATCCTAACATGCTAAGAACTTTAGGGGGTGGGTGTGAGGTATAAACGCACATGAATAGTTTATCTGGTCAGTGCAAAAGATACTAGAAAAGAAACAACAAAAGGGGCTCACAATTAAAACCGGGTACAAGTTCTCCAATTTTGCTAGCTTAATTAAAAAAAAAAACAAACCCAAAAAACCCCGAAACACCCCAACACCACACTGACTGGATTCTATACCAAGCTATCCATCAGTCTCTGCTTCAGAAATAATGTATCTTGAGTTATCAGCACTGGTCAAAACCAAGCCAAATTGTTTTCTTGAGTCTGAAATTCTAAAAACAGTATTCCAGCGGTATTTCAGCAGATATTGAAATCCATATAATAAATCATTGCTGTAAAGGGCTACACTGTTTCTTTACTTCCAACAAATAGTACTTGCACTAAACCTGTACAGCTACAAATTTACCTACAACCAACTGAAAAGACACATTTTTGCCAAGGGATAGACTAAAATTCTCTGTTCGCTTCTCTTGAAAGCTCTGACAACAAGTACTTAGCTCCTACATTCACACTGCCTTGTTTTTCAAAATACGATTGTTTCTAGTGATACAATGAACTCGCACAGCGCCTGCAGCGCCTGAAGCGAGGCAGGCCAAGGCACTAATCAGATTTCTGCCACCATCATGTCACGTAGCCTGGGATAAATCACAATTTTTCTGTCTCTCAGTTTCTTCACATGTAAGTTAATAATCATATCGAGACCATGGGGAGGAACGCCTTAATTAGCAGCATTAATGGTACTTTTTGCTCATAAGCATTCAAAGCATTAATTCACTCTTAATTCCTGTTGCTGTTTTTGTTTTGAGACAGCTAATTAGCCTGAAGCAGCTTGTCAAACATCACGTATTTATGGAACACGCTGCTCATCACAGAAAGGTTGGCAGTCTAAGGTCAGTGAGCACAAGCAGCTGCCGTGCACAAGGTTACTCTACTCTGTGTTCAATGTTTAAGTAAAGACTGAACTTGCAGCTAGTTATACAAATTAAAACTTAGCAGGACAAAGGATCTAATAGCCCTGTTCACAAGAAAATATTATATAATCTTTAATGACTACGCACATCCAGAACTTCTATTTAAAATATCTCACTTAGTAGCAGTAAATGCCTATTTTAAGTAATGCTTTAGGAGCATCATCCAAGGGCTGCTAGATAAGCATACTACAATTTATAGAGCGTTTTATAGAGAAGAGTGCTGCTTTCTGAATGACTCGATAAAAAGAAAGCTGGACATCTAATATCGTTGAAAGTTCCCAGGCTACATTCATACCGCATCTCCTAGCGCTGTACTGTTCTCATTACAAATTGTAATTTAATTTGAGAACTAACACCACAAGCGATTCAACATTAGATGCATTATCAAATTATCCTTTGGATATTTTAATCTCCTCATCAAAAGTATTATACTTTCTTTCCCTGCCTTTCCCTCCACCAGACAGAGATTACAGACCTTTTCTACCGTGGGGAGGATGCAAAAGGAAGTCTAGATGTTTAAGCGCTAGATGTTTAATTGATGTAGCACTCTAACTTAAAAAAAAAAAGCTTTTAGTATAGACACTTCCCACTACAAAAAAACAGGCGAGAATGACCTGTTATTATCCTTTTGACTTAACTAAGTAAAGCACTGTAAGGGTTGAGGGGACCCGAGACCTACAACAAAACCTGGCCGATATGGGCAATAAAATACTGCATTGAAAAAATGCATCTTTTTCTCAGCAAAGAAAATGCTGACATTTAAATACCAAGAGAAATCTAATTAGCTTTTAATGTGAAAAGAAGTCGGAGGGCATTTCTATTCGACCCCTGGAGAAAGGTGCAAGGAAGTGTATATCCTGATGTTGTAGGAGAGCTGTCAAATAAAACACCTACATTTGCCTTGTGGGGCTGGAAAAGAATCCTGGTATTGACTATTGCAAGACATTCGGGAACTAATGGAAGGTGTTAAGCTCACTGGTCTGTTAGGAAAGGAAACAAAGCAGATCATCAGCATGGTTCTCTGTGCGGTATAGGAATTAGTTCTAATGACTATATACCCAAATATCTCTAGAGAGGAGAGAAACAGCCACCAGAGCCATGTCTTAGATTCAGGGTTCGAAGAATGAGAGCTTCACGGTTCTGCCCTGCTGCAGCAGAACTGGGATTCTTCCTGCAAGATCTCAAACTATCTAACACTCACAAAACACTTGGAGAGTCATACTCTTACCTCTCATGCTCCAAATGCCAGCAACAGTTGACTCACCAGAGCCTAAAGTAGAGCAGAAAGTATCAGGCAAGGTTTCCTGTCAGGAATCTGTAATTTCATGGGGAAACTGGGACCTTGGAATTCAGCTCCTGACATGTCTAAGGGTTGTCATCTGATGACCACCATCTCCCCATTTTTGCAGGAAGGCCTCTGGTGATTACCTGAGATCTGCTAAGGCTTAGGACAGTGTTCACCTTTAGAATCATTCTTGATAAGAGTCAAGATGGGCTTAGAATTACAGCAAACATTTTATTTACAAAAATGCCTCAGTACCCTCAGGTTAGCTGCCACCAGCTGACCTGAACAGGAAGGAAATTCTTTAAACTTAATTCCACCAAACTCATTCAACTTCTCAGGTCCTGCAGGTTGCAACGCCAGCACGGCTCCTTGTTAAGTGCCAGTATCCGGGCACATGCTTAGCTCAAGGAAGACGCTGTCTAATTTTACACTGAATAACAACTAGAAAGAAATAACCTTTGGTCTAGGTAGAAACCCACAGATGACTGACTCCCCTTCAACCAAGTAATCCCTTAAGTAAACCCATACCTCACTGCTTTAGCCTCACACATAGGCTGTTCACAGGTAAAAAAAAGCATGTTGGCCGCACGGCTTTTTGCTTTGTCTCCCTCTTCCTGCAACATCCATTTTCATACTATCGCCTTTATTTATTTGCCTTTGTCTCCACTTTCCTCTCAACAGAAGCATCAGAGACAGATGTTCAAAGGAGAACTGCCACATGTGGCTCTTTTGACTAAAGCCTTATTCTTTCTCACAAGGTTATGAGGCAGAGTAGAATACTAGGCTTATCCAACAGTTTAACATCTAAGCATTGTGCCTTATACGCTCTACTGAGATTTATACTCTCACTTCTCCAAGTGTCTTCTCTCTCCAAGGAGAAGGACACGTCAGCGTAAGCTGATGGCACCCTATTTGCATGATGCAACAAACTGCAAGAGCCCTCCCCTTCATGCCTTGGAACAGCCCAGAGAAACTACAGCTACCAGCAGGCCACGCTCCAGTCCGACAGCGGCACCCCGCTGCCTGTGGGTACCTGTAACCCGGGCACACAACAGGCGCACAGCAACACCTGTGAATACCTGCATTACAGTACGTGTTTCATACGTGGGAATTTAGCGTGTATGTCTGTTTGACACTCCCGTACGTAAACGGGAAAGAGCAGAAGCACCTGACACATACCAGGCATTATTATTGCTGCTGGGGAAAGTATATACAGGCTGCTTCCATCACCTCCCTCCTCTGAGATTTCAGTCTGAGCTATGGCTGCTACAACTTAGGACAACTACAACTCGTCCTGCAACGTAGGACGAGAGGAAATGGCCTCAAGTTGCGCCAAGGGAGGTTTAGATTGGACATTAGGAAAAATTTCTTCACTGAAAGAGTGGTCAGGCCTTGGAACAGGCTGCCCAGGGAAGTGGTGGAGTCACCATCTCTGGAAGTATTTAAAAGATGTGTAGATGAGGCGCTTAGGGACATGGTTTAGTGGGCATGGTGGTGTTGGGTTGACGGTTGGACTTGATGATCTTAGAGGTCTTTTCCAACCTTAATGATTCTATGATTCTAACTTAAAGTCATTGTGCTTTTCTTTCAAACAGATTTTTACCAATGCAAAATAATTACTCATGGTTCCTATCCCAAAGTGAAATTAAAAAGACCAGAGGGAAGAAACAAGAAGGACTGTCGCTGTGAGAGGGCTGTGGACAGCTCGCATCCCAGCTGTACGTTCCTGGTTACCTGACTGTGCCCCCCAGACCGGGCTCCTTGTCCCTACCACTCTTTCAGAACTTCTTTGTTAACACAGGAGCCAAATCCAATCTCCGAGGATGTCCTACGTGAAGCTCCAGAAAAGCCTTGTTGAATCATGCAGGTAAACAAGAAGCACATGGAAGTTTTTGAAGCTTTTAATAGAGTGCCTTTGATAAATAGGCTTGACTGTCAAGAAAGCTTTCCTAGAACATCCCCTTCAATGACCAAGAAGCTTCACTGCAAGCAGGTATTTTGAGCACATTAATAAGCAACTATAAAAAGATCTCCATAAAGACAGTGCTCTGTTTCAAGGCTGGGCCTACAAGTATCCTACAATTACTTAAAATTAATCTCCATTTTGCCTTCTTAGTAGGTTAGTCAGAAACTTGAGGAGAGGGAGGGAACAGTTCTAAATTTTAAGGCGTGCCACTCTCATTCTTTAAAGTTTATGGATTTTTTTAAGAGAAGACTAGAGTAGATTCTAGCAGAAAAACTGTTTCACATAATATAAATTTCTGATTAAATGAAAGGCTCTGTAGTTCACTAGATGGTTGTTTTAACTGATAAAGAGGCAATTTTTCCTGCTGTTCAGGAAATAGATTTACTTCATATCCGATAAATGACTTCCCAGCTTAGGAAATATCTTACTAAAGCCAGCACTGCCAGCTCCACTGGCTTAAAACCAAAATTAAGTAATTCCTGTTGACCGGCAGTTACATTCTGTACTTCTCTAAGGTCTAAAAATGGTGTCAGTTCAAAGGTCCATCCTTTCATTTTGTTTGTCAGGCCAAAGTATACAGACTAAACCAGA